GGTGAGGCAGCAATTCTTTGACCAAGGTCTAAGGAGGATGGAAGGGGTGTTTTGTAGGAAAAGAATAAAGAAATGAATGGTAAATTATGCAAGAAAGCGTTACTTCCTGAGAAATACATGGCAAGAAGGCTTCTGGTAAAAGTTTGTTTGGGTCTGTTCTCTAGAGGACTGTTCCCAGTGTGAGTGGAATGACCAGCAACATCTAATACAGTCTGGTTGTCCTTCCAGGTTTGTTCCACTGGCTCTCAGTGCCCATGGAAGGCAAAAGTTCCCATCCTGGGTCCCTGAAGCTGGGCAGGAGGAGGCTACACTTCTGTACCTGTGGCTTGGGTTACCTTGATTCCTGCTATCAGCAGGAAGGACTGCCTCAGCACAGGGAGCAATGGGACTCAGCATCTAGGTCCTCAAACTGCTAAGTAGAAATGTCAAAGAAAAAAAAAACTGTGTCAAGTCAAATCAATGAACACAGGAGACACGTACACAATTAGAGGAGAAAAAAAATACATTGAAAATCCTAAACACCTATATTGTAAAACTATTCTAAGATGAAAAATAGATATGATTAATTTTATATTAAAATATGTAACTGAAATTAACTCCAGAAGTGCTTGAGGACCTAACCTGCTTTGTAGGAGAAATCCAGAAACATAATGGTGCTAGCCCAGAGATCTCACACACAGTTCTCTCAAACTTAAGTAGAAAATGATTCTAAAACCAAGTAGAGTTGTCCTCAGGGGTTTCATTCCAGGACCCTCCTCAGATATGAAAATATGATGTTGTTCAATTCCCTCATATTAAATGGTACAATATTTGCATGTAACCTATACATATTCTCCCCTTTACTTTAAATCATTCCTACATTATTTATAATACCTAATATGATACAAATGCTATGTAAATGCTGCCATATTGTATTACTGGGGAATAGTGACAATAAAATCTGTATGTGTTCAGAGAGCAGATGCAACTTTTTCCTGCATATTTGTCATCCACAGTAAGTTGAATCCATCGATGCACACAAAAGCAAGCTGTGGAATGATTAATCATAATTACGACTATTGATAGCAAAAATCATAAGACCAAGTAGCAATCACCTCAGGAATATAATAATGATTTACTCTTAAGGATTCTATTAACATAATAAAACATTCTACTAGAGCAAAGGGGGAAAGTATCTGATGATCTCCATGGATACTGGGAAGGCTTTGACAAAAATCTAATATGCACATTTTTCCAAGGGAGCAGTAATAGTTTGAGAGACTAAATGGATACCTTTTTATTATGACAAGGAAAATACATGTCTTCATACAAACAGAATTATGTGAGACATTAAAATATCCCATTAACATTAAGAACAGACAAGTGTGCTATGTGAATCATTGTTACTTAACACTATTCTCAAATGCAATTGGATAAAGAAAGAAAGAAGCGTAATATTGGGAAGAAGTCCAAAGAAAATCTGAGAAAAAATATCACAATTATAGTGGTTAATTATGACATTAATGTAGAAAACCCAATGACTTTTCTAAACATCCAGTTTGAAAAAATGGGAAAAAAGTCATTCCATTGAAAATGATAGCAAAACAAAACATCTGCAAATAGACAAGAGATTCATAATGTAGAAAACCCAATGACTTTTCTAAACATCCAGTTTGAAAAAATGGAAAAAAGTCATTCCATTGAAAATGATAGCAAAACAAAACATCTGTAAAAAGACAAGAGATTCATAGAACCTGTTAAACAAAACCATAAAACTCAAATGAGTGACTTAAAATTTGACTTGAATACAAGCCTAGATTGTAGTGTTTCTGAATAGCAACACTCAATTTATAAATTGAGGCACAATTTTAAAAAATAATGCATATGACAGAGAAATAAAGAGAAAATGGCAGTTGATGGGTGTGTTAACATGAAACTATTGAATAAAGCTTTAGAAAAGGGGCGGGAGAGGGAGGGAGGGGG